AAACTCCTTCTGTGTCCTTCCTCTATAGTTTCACACAACACCAGATCGCGATCAGTGATCTGTCATTGGATCTCTGACCCAAAAACTCACCTGATGGATGGAGCAAACCAGTGATGGGATCACTGATCAAGATTTAGCTCCATCTGTTAAACAAACAAGCCCTATATGTATACCTTAAAAAGAGGCTTATCAGTCTTGTAGCTAGAATGAGGTTAGGATCAATTGCAGATTAGACATCTTCATTCATAAGCAGATTAGGGACTCCGAACCCACACAAGTAAGCTCTTGAATTTTTTTCTTACAACTTGTCAGCACTGAGCATTCAGTGAAAGGCAACAGGCAACAGCTGGACTCGGCAAAGAGGGTTTTTTCTTCCCAGTGTAAAATTTCATCAATGGCAAATTCATGAAAATTGTTATATTGATAAAAATCAACAGATCCTGCATGGCCTAGATCGCAAGAATGGAAGGAGATCTTGTGAAACATCTTGGAGGATGCCACTGTGGTGAAGTCAGGTTTGAGGTCCTGGCTCCCAGGAAATTGTTCGTCTTCAACTGCAAGTAAGAGTCAGCTTGCCTACACTGATGTACACTGCAAGGTTGCTGTGTTGTACTTTTACAAGAACCTTTGGCAAACTGTTGATATGCAATCCCAGAAAGAAGGATGAGAGAAAAACATCTGGTTTTAATACCTGTTTCATGAATAAGATTTTCTTCAGTGGACTAGTCACAGTAGCATTGGGAGTGTCAGATCCTACAAATGGGAGGGGGGCATAGAAATATTTTCAGGGACAGTAGACGCTCAGGCCATGTAGAGTGTTTTATCTAGCCAAGTTAGTGCTACGGGACAACTGTGTTTGCAGAATCGAAATTTTCTTCTCCACTTCCAGTGTTAATTCTATTTCAGGACAGCAAATGAAATACAGAATGAATCTTTACATGCAATTTGTGGGGAGGGCAAACTTAGAGGGGGCGGGACATGAGATGACTTTGGAGGGGGACAGGTGGCCCCATGCCCCACCTTAGTGCCTCCATTTTACCCCTGAGGATCAGGTCCCTGAACAGGTGTCAACACTAAGAACCCAAGCCATAAAAGGATTCTAATTACTTACCGATATCAATATATTTTCTTTGCTCATCCAGGGCAGGGAGTAGGGTTACATGAAAACAAAGGGGCTATGATGTGAACTTTACTTTGGAATGTGTTTTGTGGAATTTTCTTCCCTTGAATATAAGAAAACTATCTGAAATGCATATTTCAATACTTTCATTGCAAAGTGCACTTTTAAGCATGAACCATTTTCAATGTTTTTCCAGCCACATGAAGGCCTTTCTGTGATGTCATACAGGGAGATATCATTCATTTGGGGCTTTTCTGCTCAAATTGTTTATCCCAAATTTGCTCTGTGAAACTATTTGTGAGAAAACTTAGCACATTCATCTGCTGTCGTGAGCTGAAACAACAGTGAATCAAAGGAGTCAACTGAATTTACGACAGCAAAATATCCAAAAGTCTATTTTAGTGCAGAATAGCTAGAACTGGGGTTTCTGCCTCGGATGATGCCACACTTTTGCTCCCGAATATGCAAGTGCACATTAAATCAGATAGCAGTAAAATGGGACACCCAGGTGCATTTACAAGCACTGCATTATTCTTGAAAATCCAAATTCACGTAATGCTTATAACATGAGTCTGGTTTCCTTTGCATTCTCAGTTGCAGTATTTGCACAATGAAACAAAACAAGCACTTCATAGTTCCTAACTCTCACTTCAAACTTTTGCAGGTAGGTCATCCTTCCACGTCAGAAGAGAAACTGAACAAAAGAAACAAGCAAAAACCCTGCTCGTCCTTTGGAGTAAATAATCTGGGCTTAATCTCATTAAATAGATTTTTGGGGGCAGGGTCCCTTTTTATTTGTTTCCATTTGTTTTTATTTTGTTTATCGAGCTGGAATATTTTCATTTTGCAGGTAGTAATCTTGCTGAAAATGTATTGGCAATTTATAGTTGGTTCAAATCTACGTCTAACTGACTGAATGAAATTAGAAGAGTAAAATGAATAATGGAAAAGTAATGCCCAGAGCGTAAAAATAACCTCACATTAGAGAGAAAAATGCATCTAGTTCTCCTCAACTTTTGGTTTACAGAGGCGAGGCCACTCTTTTAAGAAAAAGAAAGAACCCAATACAATTTTTGCCACCCTCCGTAGAATTTATTACATGTACCTTGATCAAACTTTTATCAGTGTTGTTTTTCTTACTCAAACCACTTTACAATACAGAACACTGTTTCGTTTCATGGACTTATGAACTTAAAATCTGTACACATCATGAAATTGTGGAGAACGCTGCAGCCGATGAGAATACATGTAATTGAAATACTTGTATGTTGGAGTATTATTTTTAACAAACAAAATGGTGCAGAACGTTCTAAGTGGACTACACTCTTCGTGTAGTATAAGTTCAGTCCTACAGGTTTTATCTCGTTGGGGTCTTTTTTTCAGATTAATCAATTGAAATGCACTTTAGGATCATTTCCCATCGAATTTCAACCCCATAAAATTACGTGTTTTCAAACGATCATTTTATAAGGAAACAGATAAATTTAGGAGAAATCGTCTTTTCATTCTAACCAACCACTAGGGCGCACACAACCTCACATGCTATACATTCAACACTGGGCTGCCAAGCACACATTTTGTAAAACTTGCGGGGTTCAGAGTTTTTACACACCAAGGACCAACCCAGATGGAAAAGGTAAGAGTTCACTCCTCTGTAAGGGGCTAAATCAAGATTAGAAGGAAAGTTTCTCTCTGTGCTTTCTGATGCAGAAACCTGAGATCTGAAGTACCCCTTGGCATTTTGCAGGATCCCATCTGAATTCTATCCTCCACTGTGCATGACACCAACTCTGTCTTTAAACGTTCTGAAGGCTTCACATCTCATGCAAAGTAATATTAGCTCATGCTAACTTATGCTAACTTTGTTTTTCTGAAAGTAAAGTTTAATCATGAATTGAACATGAATTGAACATATGAGTTAAAAGCATGGGTAACTTTTCATTTGGGGAATTTGAGAGTAGAAACAAAAGCAGTGAAAGACAATTTCATTACAAATTAATACCTATTTTCTGTTATGAATAATGTAAATTTTCTGATTAAACATGCCTTTAAAAAGGAATCTTGGAAATGCACTCTCACCATGGAATAGTCTTGCACCATTCCATTTGAAAGTTTCCAGTGTACATTTGTTATATGCATTCATACTTTTCAATACTTTTGAAACTTTCTTTCTCATGAATAGGTCTGTTGTTTGACAGAAGTTGCCATCGGTATTGAGGGTTGGAAAATTAAAGGGGTTTGAAGTCTGCCAACATGCATAAAATGTCAATTGGGACCCTGATTCCCCTGTGGCCTTGTGGGAAATATTGTTAGCCAGGGCCCGTATCTTTGCCAACAAAGTTCATCCTTTCTTGTGTTTGTAGGTGTGACATTCCACTGTCTAGACAAAGGGACACTAGACAGCACCGACGTCGTAGTGATTGACTTCGATGGGCAAAACTGGAGCCAGAGTGTGAAGAATTCTCCCGTTGACTTCAGTCAGCTGTCCAAAGGTGGTGATGAACAGAGTGACAAATGAAGACCAGCTCATGCGAAAACGACTTTCAGTACTGTAATATGCATGCACGGCAGGTCTTGAGATTCTACTCAGTTTGAATCCAAAACCATTACATATGGGCAGATCTATGGGGGATGTGGGGCTTTAAGGGATCTCGCCCATCCCTGGAAGGAGAGTTGAGTTATTTTAACATTTAAATATGAATGATGCAACTGCTCAGTGCCTCCTTTTTCTCCTGATGGGTTCTCAAAAAGTTTAGAACTGTGCATCAAGCCTTAAATAGAAACATGTGTAATTAGTTTATGTTGTTTAAGTACAGAAGCTAAAGTCCCCCCATGTACATTTTTGTGACAAATGTTGTCAGAAAATGTTTGCTAGACTTAAAGTAGGGAATTCAGTGGTAAGACCAAGTGTCTTGTATCAGTTGCTGATTGAAACTGTTGCTTTTAGGCATTGATTCATTGTTTGTATTCTAGTTGAGAAGGTTTTCAGGTATTTCACAGTTGTGGTACTTATTGTCAAGAGAGAACTTTATAATAGACATGTACCAGCAACTCCTCCCAACCCCTGAAAATTTGGCTCTAGAACTGCCCGTAATTATCCTTAGTGTGAAGTACACCAAGGGCTGTGTATTAGGATATGTGGTAATTCAGGTGAAGGTCATTGAGGTGTTAAATATTATATACTGGCAGAGGTTGGGACAATGAAGGACATGAACTTCTGTAATGCGTACTTTTTCATGTGCAATGATTGCCAGTATGGTCCATTGGCAAACCGGAGTAGTGTAACATGTTGTATGTGGGTATCTTTCGTACTTTTTGTTGGGGACGACGCATCCCTCAGAAAATGTCTACAATTTGCTCTGATGACATTATTGCATTGTGCACAAAGGTTTGGTTCATTTGGCTTTGATACGACCTCCTAACAGTATGTATTAGAAAAAGGAAGAAAGAAACACCTCACAGACAAAACACAAATCCTGAGAGAAGAAAAACATGTCAAAGAGACAAGCAAATACAAGGTTGACTTGTGTGGAGGAAATTGATCAAGACTAAGTATACCATAAGAGTATAATTATGGAACTCATTTTTATGCTTCGTCTGCATAGTCTGCAATATGCAGGGTTGTGGCAAGCATTTTAATTTTGTCAGAACTCTTGGGAGCACTGCGTGGTCCCCAATGCCCCCCTTCCCCCTTTCATGGCAGTGAGTGGTGTTTAATTGTGTATTCCCACATATTTTTGAGACTGGTGGATTTATCTTTGCACTAAAGAAAGTAAGTTAATCTTAAACAGCGTTATGTGATGTGCCCAGTTGAAAATGATTTTAATTCAATTTCTGTAAAGGGCCTAAGGGTAATTCCAGAACACATTTTCTAATTTCCAAGAGTGATGAATTAATGCAAATTACCCGCCACACAAATTGTAATAGTTTAAACTCGATTCTGCTGATATTTCGGAGTCAAATACCAAAGGTCAGATGTAACAGGGACACAAAAATGTCACACTTTTGGACCCTAATTTCTGGTATTATCCCTAACTGAAATTTCCAGAAGATCAGAAACAAATGTATAGACACAATTAAGTCACCTAGGTTTGAATACATATACTTATGCCTGTATTCTCAGTGATTGTGATTTCAACGAGCAAATGAGTTACCAGAATTGCTGTAACACCACACAAAAAATATGATTGTATGACTGAATTTACCGGAAACCAAATTTAGGTACCATGAAGTTTCTTAATGTATCCTCAAAATAAAACAAATTGTGAGAAAATAACCGCAATCAGATGAATCAGTAATAATCTGTGTTGGACTACCGATCTTTTACCTCGACTTAGACACAGGCTAAGCCTGACGGACTATCAGTATCATTCTTTTGTTGATACAAATGTAAATGTACCCTCCCCCGACCCACTTTATATGAAGAACTGGTATGGAAGGTAATGAGTTAAAAAAATGAAAGCAACAGCTGCATCCCGCGCAGGTGTTTTTTGTTTAGTTTGTTTTTGTATTTTTTTTGTTGTTTTGGGGGTTTTTTAATACGAAAAACACAATACTGCAACATTGTGCACGTCATACTGCTGCGATACGAACCCTGGTAGTCTAAAGTTCAACTGCACCAGACGAGACAGGATGTTCTTATGTCTAGGACATGTACACAGGGGCCTACGGCCTATCAAGAGTTGTTCACCTGTGCTGATGTGACTGGAAATAGCGCAGAGTACACCGGGGTGGCCGAGTTCGTTGCTGTAACTTGTGTTAATCCATCTCAGCGTAAGTATAATTTGCAAATTCAACTCGGTTCACTTTGAGTTTGTTTTCAGGCTGGGGAGATTGTTTTGGGGCGGTGAGGGGTGCGCTTGAGGTTGCCTTCTTCGGCGTTGTTTTGGGGGGATTTTGCTTAAGTTTAGGGTTATTGGGATGGGAGGATTTCAGATGGGGATGGTGAAACTAAAAACGTGCATTTTGGATTAAGGGGTAGCCACAGTAAAACTGTAGCCCCATGTTCACAGCATTTTGGGAAATTCACACGGGCACCCGGTACCCATCCATAGACCCTACTCACTGTCAGTTGATTGATTCATCAACAAAGATCTGGTTTTTGCCCGACATGCAAGAATGGATGGAGATCTTGTGAAACATCTTGGAGGATGTCACTGTGGTAAAGTCAGGTTTGAGGTCCAGGCTCCGACGAAACTGACGGTTTTCAATTGCAAGTAAGCAACAGGTTTAGTAAGGCCCTGTCTTTGTAATATTTACTCGGCTCTAGTTACTCTAGTTGCAAGCGAGTATAATCCATATTCCATTTTGTTGTTTACAGTAATGCATAAAGTTTTGGGGTTGTTTTTGAAAATATCTTAAAAGTAAAAAGGGACCTTGAGATCAGGGCTCAATTTACAACAAAAAAGTGGCATGCACAGGTGCATGTAGACCAAAAAACCTACATGCACATGCATCAGGAAAAACGTACATGCATCAGGAAAAATTGTACATGCACCGTAATTTTGCAAATACCAGCACTGCATATTCCTGTATAGCAATTTGAGGATTATAAACCAAAGATAAGGTTAGGTGTGTACGTGTATTATGAATCTGCTGCGTGGAAAGAAATAACACGTTTGTACACTATCTGGTCAAGAATTCAACAAACTTTATTCTTATTCTCACTTATTGGTACTGGTGAATATATGCAGGAAATGAGTATTTTCGTGGTTAAAAAGTTACATGCACGTCGTGCATGCCCAGTAAGAAAGCTACGTGCACAAGCAAAAATCTACATGCACCGGTGCATGTGTGCACCGGGTAAATTGAGCCCTGCTTGAGATGTGATGCATACCAGTACATAGAGAATGTACACGTGCACGGCTCAAAGATAGAGGTGCAGAAGATTTCACCGTTGTGTGGGGTACTTTATTAGTTCCTTTGACAACAGTACAGACATTATTTGAATGGAAGACAATATCCTGCTCTGATCTGTTCCAAAAGTTGCCTGGCAGTAACAAGGACTAGACGACCATTTTTGTTGAAAGGGTCTGTGCTAGATGCTATGGAGGTCCTGTGTGTTTGAATTAGAAAAAAAAATACACTATTAAAAAATTTTAAAACGGCCATCAGAAAGTGATAAAATGTCCTTAAAAAGTGAAACTCAGCTAAGAAAATTCCGCAATGTTTACCTAGAAAACACTTCCAGACAACTTGAAGTCTCATATGTTTGTGCACAGGGGCATCAAGTTTTTTCCGTATACCGAACTTTCCAACAACTAGTTCCTCATTTGTGCTTTTTTAAAAGGCCACTTATTTAAAAAAGTGGGTAGTCCCAATTCCTTTTGTTTGCCTCAGAATTCATCTGGTGCTATTTTGCCAATACGAACCTCTCCACAACTGTAGATTGGGATGTTATATTTTCTCCATTGCCTTCTCTAGTTGCAGTATTTGTGTAATGAAGGGGATCAGACCATTTACAGTTCCTAGCTCTAACTTCAAACTTTTGCAGGTAGGTCATATTTTTTTTCAGGATAAAGTAAATAAAGTCAAATCTATCATAGCATGCGAGATCTTGCTAATCAACCTGAAGAAATGAACGGGATGTAAATTCATGGTGTGAAAAAGACTGAGACCAGTCCCTGAATAAGATTAAACAGAGAAATCGTTTCAATTTTTGTGGGGGCATTTGGTCTCTATTTTATCAACCCAGCCAGATGTTTCACTTTTGTAAGCAGGAATTTCCAATTATTTTAAGGTGTTAGCAATTTATAGTCACTGTTTACCAATCTGTCATATTTATATATGAAGAATCACATTAAAAATAGCTCAAACAGTTACCCTGTTAACATTTTTTGCCAACTTAAGATATATGACATCCTGTTATTAAAATAGTTTTTATTGCCCTGTCAAGTTTACATGATCCACTTCACAATTTAGCTAATGTACTTGTCTTTATGCAAAAGCACAAAGATGTGACAGTATCGTGCTTGCACCACATATTGTAAAAATATTGACTGCATCGAGTGGTGTAGTATAGCTAGCCCTCCAAGGTGCCAGGGTGGTCCATGGAGCAAGGCAAAGCCGAGTGAAAAAAGAATGCTCCCTGGATCAACAAGAGAGGCTAAATTTAATATACCAGATGAAGAATTTTTGGGGGGGGTTGTAACACCACTCCTTTAGTCCTCTTGCCCTGTGTTGTTTGGCCAAAACATTTTAGCATGATTAGTTCAGACTAAAAATTGACATTTTGAACAGAAATCTTTTTCACTATTTATACTTTATTTAATTTTAATATTCAATTTTAGAAACATTTATTCCTTACTGTTCAGAAAATGGCAATGTTTTACAAATTTACCAAATCATGAAACGAAAACGAGCAAATAACAGAATTTTCATTCTCAAGTATAGAGTGAGTTTGAAAGAAGCTGGGAAAATGAAGTCGTAATCCATTTTTATCTCAACCAGGGAGAGGACAACCTAACTTGCTACACATACAACACTAAACAAGCACAACACTTCTTCTGTAAAACCTGTGGGGTTGAGAGCTTCTACACACCGAGGTTGCTTCCAAATGACAAAGGTAGAAGTTTACCCCTTTAAATTAATTTCCAAGGGTTCAATTTCCATAACTAAATAAGAACTAAATAACTTCAGAAAGGTAGCTTCATATCTCTTGATGTGCCAACCTGTAATCTAAATTGATCCTATTTCGAGACGATTTCTGCCTAGAAATTTCCCCCCATTTCTCCAGTATCACTCCGCTGTACTGCAGTTCAAATGCACATTCTCTGTGATACAAATAATAAGTGTTCAATGAAGTGCATTGGAAAGAATAAAGTCATGAGGTGACAGAGGGAGTGTTCCATTCTATCAGGCAAACATTTCACCTATCACTGAATGAAATTATCCATGCACTGGAGGGATATTATATTTTATATATATTCAACAGTGTCTATTTATTCTGTGCAACGCTTGAATAAATCCTGTAAAAATTCTGCATCATCTGAATAAAATCCTGAAAAAAAATTTTAAAATTGAATAAATTTCTCAAGTGCAGAAAATTCTCCACCTGTAGAGTGACTGTGCAAATCATATGCAGCAAGGTATGAGACGGAGAGAACCCCTCCTGCTTTGTGTTGGTCATTGTCTCGCAGGAATCTTGGGAATTCCTTTCAGACATCTTGGGGGGGATGTGTTAAGTAACAAGAGTCTGGAATGTGTATAGGGATAGGACATGTTGGGGGGTACCCCTCGGTCTCATTTCTTGCTGGGTATCGTGCAAATGAATGAACAAAACTTTGATTGACCTGTGGAATGGAACGTCTGTGTAATGTTGTCATGTCATGCATTGGGATAAATAATTTGTAATTCATTTTTGCTTTACAATCCACCAATCCTCGACAACACTAAATCATCAGACACATCTTCACTGGAAGAGGCTTATTTGATTGAAGCTGCCATCATATTTTGCACCCAAAAGAGGGAAGAATCTTCTAGTTTGCTAGCAAATTTACCGGCATAAGTCATTAACCCTAACCCTCCTCAATCCTTCACCTGTTGGAGGACTGAGGAGTGTTAGGGTTAATGAGACACAGCTCTACTTTGGGTTAATATGTAAAAAAAAAAAGTAAGCCAGTGCTTTTGCCTATTGATGCATGCATTGTTTTATGCAGGTGTTTTGATCAACTGTCTAGACAAGGGTACACTAGAGACTACCGACATCACCGTGATCGACTTTGATGGGCAAAACTGGAATGAGGCTGTAGAGAAATATAACACAAACATCAAGGAGGTGTCTGAAGACAGTGACTCCAAATCTGACAAATAATTGCTCCATCAGTGTGGCCTTTCTGGGAATTGAGAGGCTGAATTTGGGTATTCTGACATGCTTTTGGAAGGAAGGGAAATGAAATTGCCCTCCCCCCTTAAAAATGCCTTTCATTATGTTTCACAAAGAAATCAAATTTTTGCCCCTTTGTCTGGCCCCCCCCCCATCTGCCAGTTCCTGTATATATTGCATTTTTATTTTTATCTTCAAAGGCATTATAAATATAACCATTTAGCCACTGAGACATCCCAATAAGATTGAGGATGTTAGAAATCAGCCTTTCAGTTGATTTCAGCTTTTTAAAGATATTTACTCTGAAATTCAGCATTTTGGTTAACCTGCTCTGTAGAAAATTATGGGAACATTTAAATGTCAGCATTGTTCCGACTGTTTTCACTTGTACATGGCCATATTCACAACCCTACAAGATGCAATGTACCCTATACACCTAGTGTTAAGTGCAAAGGTATGCACTATGCAGTGATCCATGTGAAGTGAATTGAAAGTGACAGGGATTATAGACTGGAAGGTTTTGAACAATGACAGTACGCACAGAAAGAATCAATGCCCACTACTTAAAACTGCGTAGGGTCTGGGTGCTGGCAATAAATGCAAGTATTGTGTTGCATAGATCTATAGTCAAATCAGTAATGCTGCAGATTTAGTTATTAAGCTTCTGTGATTTACCTTTCATCATTTGTTTTTGAGAGATATATTCTAGGACTACACAGCATTGGGAAATTACAATTACCAAAATGAAGAAACAGTCGGCTGAATTAATAAACAGAAACAATATTTTCCACATGTGGAATTGTAAATCAAATAAACCACTTATTATAATTCCCATTGGTTATGTGTACATGAATATGTGGATTATTACACAGAAATGTTATGTACTAGAACTTCACAAAGTTAATTTATAGAAGAGAAGGTACATACAGTGAAAATTTAATAGATGCCAAAGAAATTGCAAGGGTGAGATAAAAAATTTTAAAAGTGACGATGATAAATCCTTTGTTACGACTTTGAGTGACTTGGCATTCAGACAAGGGTTGTGCAATATGGCAAGTGATGTGGCTCATGAAACCTTCTCTAACCCCCCCCCCCTTCTGCTCGGAACGGATGACCCCCAGTGGCCTCTATCCACCGCGGAGCGGACGGCCGGCTCTTCCGGGCCCGCCCAGGCCCACTTGGAAACAAGACGAACGCTTGGTGGCGCACTGCTCTGCTCTGGACGCTTGGTTAAGAGTTTGTGGCAGTCGATGGAGTTTTGTGCATTTCGCCCACCATACATAACGTAGTGTATCATCTTTGCTTGTAACCTGAGTACATCAGGTGAGGTTGGGTGCGCGTACGTGTTAAGTTGTCATTGATGCAGCTCTTGAGGTGAACTTCAAGTTTAAGAAGCCAGAATTGGCAACAGCATGTCCTCGATGTTACGGAGGAAGGCAAGCCAACTGATACAGAGGGTTCAGGGCGGAACAGACCGCTGGATGACCTGGCTGAAAAGCACCGCATTTCGAGTTATTGCCGTCTTGCTGATTGCTACGCTGCAGCTATGGCTGGCGATCTTCCTGTACGGCAGTTTCTACTATGCCTACATGCCAACAGTGTCACATATAAACCCCGTCTATTTGCAGTTCAGGTTCGAACATTTCATAATTTTAGTTTAAAAGTAAACCTTGGACATGTTGGAAGTGTGTAGTGCATGGTAAGGAGAAATTTGCAGTGACACCATGGAATAATTTACGCCGTGGCTGATGTTACCGCAGCTGTAATGCATCTCCCATTTTCTATCGTTAGGTTACGGCACTGCAACTGTGCAAGCACGCCAACTTGAGTGCAGATTTCAGACTTATTGCCGTTAAAAAAATCCTCCAAAGCCTCCAATGAGAAAAGAAAAAAGATTCCTGCTTAGGCCTATACAGTTGGGAGTGCTACCAAGACTGTCTCCTCTATGGGCGAATATGGTCCTTTAACGAAATCACAGGAGAGACCCAAATGTAGTCGGGACACAAACGTATTGACAAGGAAACGGTCATTGGAAGCACTCCCAACCATCACGATCAATTAGTCTTGTGCCCAGACCACGTATAGGCCACTCATGCATGTTTCTGAGAGGACCATGTTTCTCCTATAGAGTTCTTGCGTATCCTAAATCTCGATACGTGCATTTGAAAGGAATAGGCAGCAAAAAGTTTAAGCCCCAACCATTTGACGTTGGCATTTACGGATGCCAGAAGGTGGTGATCGAGGTATTTTTGGTGAGTCTTTGTAATTTTTGAGAACCGTTTCAACCTTCCTAGATATCAATTTGTGGATTGACCGCTTGAAAGCTGGGAATGCAGTATCGGTTTTCATGGGTAGTTGGTGACGTGCAACATGGTTACCCCCAGAACTGTGGGGTTCAACGTCTGTCATGCTCCACCCAAGGGAGCGCAGGGAACATGGGGAAGCATGGCAGAAGTTGAACCCCACAGTTCTGGGTTAACAACACAGCAGCATCCTAGTCGAGTAACTGGGACCCTACAAATCACCTTTGTAACATTTGGACATTGTCAGGCAATGGTATGTCCAAATGATAAAAAAGGCAATTTGTAGGGTTCAAGTTACTCGGACTAGCAGCGCCCATGGAATTCCCTGTCCGTATATCATATCAAGGGTTTAAAGTTTGGGTTTCTGGGCAGCATTAGCTTCTGTTCAAAGAGAACAATCGGTTTATTATGGAAAATTATTAATATCAATTTTGCAATTGTTTTTCATTGCCTCCAGCTTTGTTGGTCATCTTGCGATATTTTTTGCGCTTCCTCAAAAATCAAAATTCCAAAACCTTGACAAGGAGGTAATGGGATCCTGTTCTGAGTGTTCTTAGGTCATGTTACCGCCATCCGAGTGCAGAAACCTGTGTCAAGAACAGGCTGCTCAAACTTGACGTTAATATTTTAGTTCTACATGAAGTCCTATGTGGACACAGTATCACCTGACAGGACATGGTACAGACTCATGTTGTTTGTGTATCTTAACGTGATGCAGCCCTTGTGGTGCTTCTGTTGGCATACTTGAGCTGTATTTTTTACCTCAGATTTCACAGAAAGTGAAATTTCCTCAAGTTCTCAATGTGTCCTTTCATAAATCTTGAGTTTATGTATGTGAATAAAATTTTATTTTGGCTTGATTTTCCAACTTTTTGACATTGTACATGTATATGTATGCTTGCAGAATCTGATCTTTGTGTTGTGGATGTAACAACAGATTCACATATTTTGATGAATTCTGCTGGGTGTGGGTAGCAAAAAAAAAAAAAATTGATGCCGGCTGAGAAATTCTTTATTGAAATGCATTGACTGTGTATATTATATAATATGTAACTGCACTGCTTTGCCAATAGTTGTGACCTCCCCACTATATTTGAGATCATTACTACATGTGTAGGACACAAAGCACAGTACAGGGGGCCAGTCACTTTAGCAATGGTTCCCCAACAATTATAAATGTTTGTGTTTCAACACCTCAAGACATGTTGCACATGTACATGTGTACATCTGTAATTCCAGAAATTAGGGGTCCAAAGGTGTGACATTTTTGTGTCCCTGTTACACATGTTACATCTGACCTTTGTTTTTTGACATGGAAATATCACCGGAATTCATTTCAAACTACTACTGTTTGTCATATAATTTGCATTAATTCATCGCTCTTGGAAATTAGAAAATGTTTTCTGAACTTACAAAATCTTACGTCTGATGTGACAGGGACACCAACAAAATGGAATCCTAATTTGTGGAATTACCCTCATGTATTGTACACTGCACAAGCTGTAGTTTGAAATATGTATAACACTTTGTCTTTACGAAGTTGTTCCTTTTTGCAGTCAAAAAGGGATGGAACAAAATTCAGTTGTCAGGTTTAACGTTAAAGTGAAGTAATGAACATTGATTTTATTGCAGAAGAGAAATCACTCTCTGGTCCCAATTTAGCAATGGCGTTCACATTGATACATATGCAGAACAGGTTGTAGAGAGCTTGACATTGGCAAAAATGTCAAATCATCGGGGAAATACTGCTAATGTGACAGTATCTTTCTAATTGGCCCCCCCTTCATTGTGTTTTGTGCCATGTGTAGTTGGGGCATAGCCTGTACAAAGCCTGAAGGCTTCCCTGTATTAAGGCTTGATGGCAAACATCTCAGGTACCCTCACATTTTGTTGCATTTGTCCGAGCGTGGAAGCACTGTTGAGACCGTGGTCATAAAGTCAAACGTCCCAGTCAGCAACTTTGTTTAAGTGAAAAAGACATAGCAAACTCCTAAACCTAGTTGGATTTTATCGCCAAAAGAATGCCAATCAGTGAAATTCTGATGAGCAAAAACTTTACCTGGCATATCGTTCTGTGATGCCTTACAATGGAAATTGTTAACTGGATTGTTCCCACACTTAAAACTTGATGCTTTTCTATGGATATAATACATAATCTTGGCGGAGGTTGTTACCCAAGGCATAACGACTTCTTCTTTATTTTTGTAATTTTTTTGTTACTGGTACCTGTAGCACTTTACAGTTATGGTTGAATACAAGGACTATACGGAGATTCATTTTCACAGTGCCGTAGTTTTCACGGTTTTGTAATTTCTGAAGAAATGCGCTGTGAAAATGCGGCTCTGTTTCCCACCAATTTCCTTTGTAAATTCCAAAGGTCTACAAGCATGTTCTGAGATCCCTTAAGCCTAACTCCCCAGAGTGATTTACAAGGAACCATCCCCATTCACACAAATTCCAAGACCGTATGGTAAACTGTGCACAAAAACTGTTGGACTCTGTTTATTTTGGGTATGCCAGAACCCATGTTAGAGCACAAGCAGTTTAGGGGTACAGTACCCAGTGCCACAAATCCACACACTTTACTGATGTTCAATTCTGTGTGGTTAGGGAAGGTTAGGGTTAACCCCTTCACGTAGCTATAGCCGCAGTTAAAATTGAGATCCTCAGCCCACTTTCCAGTCCACTTTTCAGTGATTATTCTTGGCCCACGCTCGAGCGAATTCGGTGAAAGAAGGCAGACCATGGCCCTTATATACATGTATATGAATTTGCATCATAATCACCAGCTTCACAATAGTCCCCAATTTGAAAAGAGGCAACAGGAATGTGGAAGGGTGAGTAGAGCCGCATGCCACCGAACAATTAGCCTTTTCACTGTGTAATTCAAAGCGTGCAGAGCACGCAAGGCCACAAACTGAGAATTTGCGGCTTTACAGGTGGCCTTCGTGGCCAAGCGAGGCTGGAATTCTTGGAGTCAGCTTTCGGAAAGAAATTCCCGTCGTTAAGCAGAGATGTAATGACTCAAGTCAGTTACAAAACTTGAGCCCAACTCGTGTCACAATTTTTGGCAATGCAACTCGACTTACCCTCAACAGGTAAATGATTCGACTCAATTCGAGTCACTCTGAACAAAGGACTTGACTCAAGTACCTCTTCAGGAGATCAGACTCGAGTAAAGGTTAACCAGACTCGAGCCCCAAAAATAAAAGCAAATTTCTCTGCCAAAAAGTATATGTGCAGTGCCGGTGTATAATGTTCATGTCATGTGTTATTGACTTCAACTTGACTTTTTGACTTGATTTTGTGCCTAACGGCTCAGGTCGCTATGTTGCAATGACTCAACTCAAGTCATGAAAATTAGTGACTCATTAAACTCTGCCTTTTACCCAACATCAGAGTTTCTTGTTGTCCCAACAAGTATGTGGAAATGAAACCGAGACACAGCCTCTAAATGCTGACCAAACAAAACGGTTAGGAAGGGGTTTATGCATCTACATCGGTTTGCTACATTTGCTCGACCAAACCTTTTTACCCTAGCATACACAGCACACCTCTGTCTATGGTACATCAATCTTCGGATTCAAACCATTGGACAGTTTTAGAAACAAAATAGTTTGGAGAACGGCTTCACTGCTGAAGGATAGGCTTGTCATCACATCTATGTCCTGTTTCTACACAGTGCCTGCAAGGAGTTTGGTCCGCAGCATTGTCCTTTCCCGAGTGTGAATTCAACATTGCTAAAGAATCCGGAAATGGGACATGTAAGTCGGCGCTTCAGCTAACCTTTGACATGAATTTATGTACATTGCTTTAATTTATTTGGTATTGTCTCGATAGACCCCATTAATTGGGAAACTGTTTTGATTATGTTCCCCGAACCCATTTTATTCACTCAACATATGTGAAATGGTATGGAGCCAGACTATTTGGCATTCCAAGTCTCACTTTCTTCATCTTTTTTTTAATGTGGCTTAAAACCTTAATTTCAAATTTAAATTATTCATCAGTGAAAACTGGTTTTAATTTGTAATTTTTATTTCATTGCTTTCATTTCTACAATCAGGTTCCCAAAATAGAATGTTAATCTCAATTTTCAATTAAATTTGGCCAACTAGTGAAAACGTCTACATGCAGACAGTCATTTTCAGTTTGACTTCATCGTACCAACTACCAGTACTTGTACCATTTCTGCCTGCTAGTTTGCCTGTTTTACTGTTTTGACTATGCATGTTGTTACATGTACGTATGTGGAAACTGTTATTCGTAAATTATCTTTAATCCACCTCTGTATTTACAAAAAAAATGCAAGTAGTTATGAAAATATCTCAGTTCCTTAAAAAAAAAGAAATCCTTGGTAACATCATGTCAAATTTGTGTCATGTCATTTTATTGGCTTTGCAATGTACATGTACAAGTAGATGTACATGTATGGTGTTGGGTGAGTTTATTAACATGTACATGTATATGTATGGTGTTGGGTGAGTTTATTAACATGTACATGTACATAGACATTTATTTCTTAATTCTAAGAAATTTGGCATGTCAAGGTTTGTCAAAACATCCTCTGACATAATCACAAAACACATTGCAAATACCATGTCTGTGTTTAAACAAAAATTGTACCCCTAAAGTTGACCTGGAGGACAACATGCATGTACATGTATATATCTCCTAATTATGCAACGCCTTAAGGAATAAATCCCCATCATGTGATTGATTTGTCATTGATCATGTTCCATTCAAATCATTTATGCCAACACAAGTGGCAGCCCCACTCCAAAACAAGTTCTATTCCACAGTAAATGGAATGTGCTATTCCACTTCCACAGGAAATTTCTGAACTCACCAGCGATGTGGAAATTCATTCACGTGGGGACTTTAAACCCAGGCAATTAAGGCTTTTTTTTCAATCATTGTATACGAAACAACAAACATGTACACGTACGTTTCACATCCATTCCATCTGTCACCTCATGACGTATGCTGGATTTGCACTCGTAAACAATCGTTCTTTACATGTATGTACTGCTACATGTACCGGTATGTGGCAGTTGAAAAGCTGTATGAGACCAAACATATTCCACCAGACTAGCAATGGTCAAGGGTAATCACTATAATTCTTTAATTGATACCTCCACATTCTGGAACAGTCAGCCAGTTTGTTCTTTCAACAACCTGTAATTGTTTTCAGTGTCTTTGTCAATATTTCATATTAAATGAGGTTGATATTTGTTCGGTTCTTACTCTAACACTTGAGGGTATATGAAACATTCTGTTTCAGTGAGCTAGTGTGGTGTTTCAAAAGGGCAGGGTGTTCAGAGAAAAAAGCACATGATGTGACACCAATTTGAATATGTTTAGTGCAGTGCCTGTGAGTGCATACGCTTATAGGGCCATCCTCTTGTACAGTTACTGACTTGTTCAAATGGCCTACGACATGTTTTATTTGGAGCCTGCACTTTTGAAACATCAAAGTAGTAAAGATTAACATTGCTTGTCGGGAATGTTGGGTGAGACTAACCAGGAGACTGTTTCTCCTTCCAAGCTTCTGATGCGTGGCCAGAAGTACCGAATTCTGTTAGAGCTGGACATGCCTCAGTCACCGGTCAATGAAAATCAAGGTAAATTGGAGTTTCTCAAGAGCTTTTCAACAAATGTTAAAACTAGGGCCCAATTTGATGGCAGTGCTTCATGTTACCATCGACATTTACCGGGAAGTGGTTTCTATCACTTCAGATTATGATTTGAAGAATATGACAGTGAAACAAGTAGAAACGTGACTGGCCTATTGGAATTTGTTACATGTTTAACAGGTGTGTTTATGGTGAGACTGGATCTGTATGCAGCTGGTGGGGAAACTACAGCATCATCATCACGTCCAGTGAGTACTTAACTTTCTTAAGTCCCAAAGGTTACTTGAAGGCACGTGGACATTTCATTTTCTTTGAGGGTAGAAAAAGAAGATCTTAGTTGTTTTGTTTCCATACTTGTGATAACATCTGTGGTGTTGTTGAAGAAATGAAAATATTAAAAGAGTAAAAAGCTGCTTTGAAGTAGAAGCACTTAGGGACAGGAGTGACCTGAAAATACTAGCAAATCTCAAATTTAGAGGGCTTGAAATTTCCATCTGTGGATCTGTTTTTCTGAAAGACAAATAAATGCTTGTGGGAGAAACACTTTCCTTGTTTTAATATACATGTAGGTATGATCCTCAAATCAGCAAAAAATCACCCATCCTTCCAAAAAGTGTCACCACATCAATTTTCTAAGCTCAGAAATCAAAAGGATTTCTTTTTATTGAAATCGAAGCTTTCATGTAACCATTTTTTTTGTTCCCCTATTACAGGCCATGATGCACTACCAGTCCAATCTCTTGAAAACATTACAAACGTTGTTCTTCATCCCCATGCTTTTGTCGGGATACAGTGAAGAAAAGCAGACACTCACAGTCAGCTTATTGGAGAATTTTGTGGATAATCCAGTGAGTAGCAAGGCTCTGATAGACATGCAGAATAAGTGCCAATTATAAAGACATAAAGATCCCGACCCTTAGATTATGACTGAACCTCCTCGTTATTAACTGCATATATGTTTTTAATACACAGCTCTGTGCAGCTCATTTGGGTTTGTTGAATATGATTTATTTTCTTGCAAGAAATTCATTTTTAAAAAAAGGAACAAACTACAAAAACACAAACAAAATCCATTGAATTTACAAAGTCTGTTCTTCCATTTTTATTTGCCAGTATAAACCAATTGTTGGAGCACACATTGAACTCCAAGCCCGACAGCTTGAGATCTACTCATCCGTGTTAAAGATCCAAGCTCACTTCTCAGGACTCAGGTAAGTCTGGGGTGCTTTGAGGGCACCATGTTGTGTACAGGTCTATGGTCCAGTCAAAATTGTTTCAGATTTACTTTGCCTTGAATACATTGTCAATCTACACATCACTTCTGTGGGGTGGAACATTTGGGTTGATTTCATTGAAAAACTGAGATCTCTTTTGTTTTTGTTTTTTCAAAGTAAAGATGTTCTCGGTACATTTTTCCACAGGGCAGCATTTCTTTACTGAAATCATAATCTCTGAATGCCATTTGGAATTTAAGCAAGCAAGACAAAAGCAATCCTTTACGGTGACTAACCATAAGGAAATGGAAATGATACATTGTGTGTGTAATAGACATGTATGTGTGATGCACTAAGTATACATTATGTTACAAAAAGTAATTCTTGGCCTTTAACTGTTGCATAAATCCTTTCAGGTGTCTTTATGTTTATCTGTAATTTAGAATGCAAATACGTAACTAATTGAATTTTTCCATTTTGTTTGTAGTTTTGAATTTGCTTTTTCCCTGATTTTTTATTTTTTTTTTCAATATTCGATTTAAAAAAATAATACCGTAATCGGTAAAAGGCCCCACCGTTACATTCGCTTTATTTTGTATAACACTTATGCGTTTCAGGTATCTGATGTACCAGTGGCCAATCAGCACTGCCCTTGTCTTCATCTCCGTCTTTTTCCTCTTCTTGTCTCTTATCACCGTGTTCTCTTGGCAACAGTGTGCTGGTGCATTCTCCCAACAGGAAGAAGAAACCGTGGTGCGGATGGAGGACGTGTACACGGTGGGCTATGAGGAACGCAGAAAGATGATTATGAAGAGCATGGCCTCTGAACGCACAGGTAGGCAGATTAAGGGCAGATGGAGAAGGGGGTGTGGTCAGTCACAGTAGACACAGAGACTCCACAGTCTGAGAGGGATATAGACTACGTAAGTTCAGTTGACTTTGCTCAATACGAGAAGATGATCAAGAGGGTGTGGTCTCACAACGAGTAGGTAGATTTTGTATTGTGAGCGTGGTGTGGGTGTGGTCCCTGTATACAAGCCTTTTGTGATCTTTGAGGATTAATGCAGAAGACAGGAAAAGACAGGTCTTCATAAAGCTGACCATACTGATAGTAGATTGGGATAGGAGTGTGGTCATTTATTTTTGTCACT